CTACCACGGGTATCGAAACCCGATTTCTAGCGTTGTAAGTCCGCAGACATGCCGCTGTGCCACTTCATGTGCTCGTGTGATAATATTACTTAGATTATTTAGACGGCTAGTATCTTGGTACTTGTATTTTTACAGGGTTTATACCGATACTTGTTTATACCAGTGTTGAATCATTATTGCTTTTGACCATACTTTTAGATGATCCTGACAGTTCGATTGTAGAAATAACTGTATATAGAAGTATAAATTAGCAGATGAATTAGCTGAAAAACTTTACAGTAATCATCATACGATTCCAGTAGTGTACGAGTTTTGAAACATACGTACACACACACATATATATTTTTTAAATGCCATTTTCACTCCTTCCCGGACAAGTATGCTGTCATAAACTACGTCATAAGAAATAATATACTAAGATCACTCTCATAAATAATTATTTACAGGAATGCAGCTAGTACAAATATACAGGTAGCCAGATTTAACCTTCGATTCTGACCTTAGTGTAGGAAAAGAAGTGAAGAAGCAATGGAAGGAAATAAAAAAAACAACTTGAAATTGGTAGTAAAAGACTAATGTAAACGACTCTCGTATGGGCAAGAACTGTGATGCTGTATAGCAGCCAAATGCTTTAATATTTCAGTTAGATAAATGTACAGATGGGATTTGACCGCTGTTATTAAGCTAACTACTCCCATCCGCTCTGAAGTTATATGTTATTCGACATTTTCAGTTCGGGTGACAGTAAATTGTAAACACTTCAGACAGTATAATTTAGAGTTTTCGTTATAATAGTTAGTGCTATGATCCTCAGATTGAATGCCCCGTTTAAGTTGTTTCTCATGTTCACAATTGTCTCGTGGAATTTATACGTAAGTTCGCTCTTGGTTACATATTCTACAAAGACTGCAGAAACACATCCAAAGTGATTTTTCTTTTTAGAGTTGTTCCACTAAGTTCTTATTATGAAAAAAATCAAATTTTCACGGTTAAATCTGAATTTTAAAAAAACCTTCTTTCTAGAGATAGAAAAACGATCATTCAGTTCACATAACTTTTACTGGTGGGCCAGATGTTTCTCGAAACCACCGTTGAGTAAACCGAAACCCTTCTTCCCTCCTTTTACACAGTTGGAATCCAGCCAAAATCTGATTGGCTGAGAACCAGGGTGCTTGCCAAATAATCTTGGAAGCAGAGCTCAACACTAGCCGTCATTGTAGCGCCTTCTGAGAATTCATCGACATTGAGGTTCAGTAAGTCTTACCGTTCGGAACGCGAGACATCTAAAACGTAAAGTGGAACGAAGTGACAGTTTTACGTTTACTCGAGTTTCTTACACTTCTATATCATTCAAGTCGGAGTATCGTATAATTTTGATTTGATTTTAATAATAGCTGAGAAGGTACGAACGACAACGCAGAGATATAGCGTGAGTATCAATAACATCGTATTGCATTATCAAATATAGATACTTAAAGTTGAAAGGATTAAAACACATTTTTATGCTGTTTTACAACTACAGATAACTTTGAGCAGAATGAACAGTATTATTAAAGGGCCTATCCGTATTCTCGAAACATAAAATAAGCGCAAATAAAGTTCCGGTATCAACAATGACTATCTTTGTTTTTATTTCCATTTAAAACTCTCAAACTGGATAAACCTTTTAAAAATTTACATACAACAAAATAATTGTGACGCTGTCAATAAAACTTTAGAATAACCGCGTGCCTTTTGTTGTTGTTGTTCTTACTGTCAAATGAACAATATTTATCAACTGGATATGTATCATTAACTGTTTAGCCTGCTTTGGTCGTACTTGTATCTTATGGACGTACAAAGATAACAAGGAGAAGATATGAATATTAGCTCGAAGGTTTGTCACTCTGGCGTCTCCCATGAGATATTGTTTGTCTGTCAGCATCAAACTATTTAACATTTGAAATTTTAAGAAAAATATGCTTATTTTTAGAGTGTTCTGTTATTTGAGCCTGTTCTCCACCATAACATAATTCATCATTGCCATTTCTCTAATCTATACCTTTTATTAGTTGGAAGATGTATTATTATTTCGTTAAGGTCGTCCCCCAGTGGCACGGCGGTATGTCTGCGGACTTACAACGCTAAAAACCGGGTTTCGATACCCGTGGAGGGCAGAACACAGATAGCCCATTGTGTAGCTTTGTTCTTAGTTATAAACAAACAAACAAATCGTTAAGGTCCTTTGCCTGCTTGTACGTCACTTAACTAATGCACGAGACCGCACGTAACCATGAAAGTTTACACAACCAATCCTTGTGTAAATACTTGATAGATCCTAGGCTTGAAAGTTACGTCACACAATATCCATTAAACTTTCAATCAACATGTACTTAAGTTATAAAATAGCACTCTACGAGTACCAATATGTTAATTTATCTCATGTGTCCATTCATAAAGCTGTTCTCCTTATGTTTTATGTAAACATGTAGACGTGTGTGAGTCTATGTATATGTGTGTGTGTGTTGAATAATACTTATGTTCTCTTTAAAGCAGTCCGTTAGGGCAAATAACGTTATTAGATAAAGGAGTCGTCCTTGATCATATGTGCTTTCTCACTAGTGGTGGTTTTCCATATTTGTATTCGGACGGGCAATTTAGTCTATACGTTACTGTCAACCCGGGTTACTGTGCTCGTGGATGACATATAACGCTCAACATCGGGTTTCGATACCAGTGGTGGGCATAGCATAGATGGCCCGCTGTGTGGTTTTGAGCCTAATAATAAACAAATACTCCTTTCAACTCGTAGAACATTTGGGCTAATAAAAGATTAGCGATAATCCTGTTATAAATCTAGAAGGATATAAAATATTAGATAAGCAAAAAAAAGATGATCTTAACTTAAGCTAAATATGTTCTTTGGTGAAACCAAACAGAATGTATCTTTATCATTATTATTATTTTTAAATCCGAGTAACCGTATATTGCTTTCTTTCACCACCTCTAATATTGAAACTACTGTAGTTAGTCAGCAGCACTCCACCACTCATCATCCAAAGCAAGGGATTAACTGTCTCACTTATAACGTATCCACAATTTAAAGTGTGGGGATATTTTCTGCTGTCAATGGATTCGAGCCCGATTCACCAGCTTCACAATCCAAAGTTCTACCACAGGACCGACCCACGTCCTTAACAGTGGGGAACATGCGCGTTTAAAAGGTTATAGGTGAAAAGTATCAAAATGGGCATTTATAATCTCTAAATGCATGTTTTCCCCGCTGTTAAAATGACAGAATATACAATATATTTAAATTGTGGCCCCAAAAAACAAAAGCTCTGAACCACTTACTTCTATAGCCTTCTGAACGCATATTTTCACAGTTATTAAATGATGAAAAATACATTCAAATAAAGGCCCTAAACAACAAAAGTGTTTCAGAGCTTTTGTTTTTTGGGGCCACAATTTAAATATATTGTATATTCTATCATTTTAACAGCGGGGAAAACATGCATTTAGAGATTATAAATGCCAGTGTTTCAGAAAGTTTGTTGTTTTTGAAGTTCATTTAAATGTATTTTATCTTTTGTCATTTAACAGCGGGGAAATATATATATTTAAGAGGTTATAGATGTAAATGTAATGTTTTTGGGATCTTAATAGAAATGTATTTTTCATCATCTAACAGCGATTAAAATGTTTTAAAGTTTATAGGCGTAAACATTTCAAAACGTTTTTAAGATTATGAAGCTACATTTGAATATATTTTATTTTTCGTTCTTTAACAGTGGTAAAAGCACACGTTTCAAAGCTGTTGGAAAACATTTATATTTTTGAGATCTTCATTTGAATGTATTGTAATCTTTCGCGAGTTAAGAGGGATTTAATTTCTTTGCTTACGTAACTTTTGAAATCGAAAAGTGTAGTACACAGTTTGAAAGGTTTTATATTATGTTTGCCCTCAACAAGTTTATAATTTCAGTAAAATAGTGGAGTGGAATAGCAGCAACTAATGATTGCTTAGGATTATCACCAAGGTCACCGACTGACTAATTGATGTTTAGTCTGTAGTCCGCTTGAGGGCTGAGTGCTTGGTTCATTATTTGAATTGACAACGTAAGCAATAAAGAGACTCATTAACGTGAACTTTCCATACAATGATGAAAGCATTATTTATTTTCTATAATTCATAAACTTTTTTTATCTGTCATGGTAAACATATTAAATATGACGTTAGCAATATCCACTTTGCGTGAAACCTAAATCACTGAAATAGCTAGGACGTCAAAACATCTTACCTTCTGTTTTTTTATTTTTATTTTTTGGATATCGTTCATTTAGACTGGTTGGATTTATAAAAAGGCACTTTTAATAGCCAGAACTGTTTGTTAATATGTTATTTACACTATATTTGTACAACGCATTATCTTTAGAAGTCGTAGCCTAAACTTGTAATTTAGACTTTACAATAAGTATCTTCCTCTATCGGTTTCTTTTTTCACACAATTCTACGGGAAAATTTAATTTTGATGTGAGATATTATAATGCTTTAGCAGTAAAGTACGTTTTTAACTGTTGTCTGTGAAGCAATATAAACAACGTGACTATATACGCATACCTAAGACATATCATTCATTATGAACTTCTGTAGTTTTGATATGGTTTGTCTCGGAAATTCGCGCAAAGCTACACAAGGGTTATCTAGGCTATCAATTCTTATACTTGAACTGATAAACTAGGGGAAGAATATGAGTTAATAGTATCCATCCCCAAGTTTTGGGCCATTCTAATCCAATAGCGTTTCGGCCGTCCAAAAGTGCAACAATAGCCCATGAACCGTGGATCTCCGGATTCTATTGTTGATTTATTTTTCAGTCATTAAAGTACAATGTTCGTGAAGAATAAGAAATGCGACAAACTTATGCGACAATTTGTTTTCTGGACGTTTTCTGCAGTTGCCATTTTTAAATTGTTCAGCAGTGCTGTCATCTGTCGGGTGTAATTTTATGATGCTTGCATTTGCATTTCGTATTTATAGCAAAACCACTAAGGCTGCCACCGTCCTTAACTTTGAACTATTGACCAGAGGTAATACACACAATCAGCATTCTTCCACTCACCATCAAAGCTAAGGTACTGACTGCTACTCTTATAAAGTTTAAAATGCTTAGAATATTTTGTGATACCGCACGGATTCGAAACCGACCCGAAAGCTAGACATCCAGATCTTTACCACAGGGAAAACCGCGTCTTTTATGATGCTTATTTCCATGCAAAGATGCAGGTTTTTCTGACATAATATATATGCCATTAAAACCAAATAAATAATTTATGGCCACACTATACTTGAGAAAGAGAGATGCATATGTAAACTTATATTTATTAATGTGAAACATGCAGAAAAGAAGGTCAGTGAAGAACCGGGAAAGTAACTTGAAAAAAGAATGAAACAAGAATAATAATAGCAAACGGTCCCATCTTTATTTTTACTCAGAGCAGTCGAATAGCGTGTTTCAAAGTGAGATTTAACATTCTAATCCTACTTAGTCCAATGATACCAGCAGTGTGCACTGTATATTAAAGGAAGTATATAAATAAGTATTAGAGAAAAAAAAAGTAAAAAAGGGTGCTCGTTCAAGCTACGGATATCGTGCACTCGAAGGGGGACCTAAACTGTAGGTATTTCAAAAGAGCAGAATAAACTTGGTAGGGTATTCTCAATTCACTGAAACGTGTCGAAAATAGACAAAGGAGAATAATATTGTATCTGTTTCCATTCCGTCCAACTACTATAATTAAACAAAAAATACAAGACGTTAAATATTCTAGTATATTTAGTGTAGTCTGAGATTAGTACCAATGCCAAAAAGGTCTTAGCCATGTGGCTAATTTCATTTAGCCACAAAATATAACATACATTTGTTATTTTATCGTAGTGACTAATTTCTCCGAAAGGGGGCCTATAGTCGCTTGGGGGAGTCACCTGTTTTAACCACTCGCACCATTATATAGTAGTTTTTTATCTGTCAGTCAGACAGTAGAGACTAAAATGACGTCACATAAGGGGCGCTTAACGTTTGAAATTTGTATTGTCGTGACGTCAGTAAAATGTGCGCATGCCATGAATCAAGAGAAGAATTATGCACTCTGTATGCTACAACACAGCATGACATATGAACTTCGAAAGCAATAAATGAAAATACTTGTTATTCTTAATTTTGGTTTTATCTACTCTTGAAACAGGACACTTTCAGTGACCCTACGGAAGTACATCTAGTAATATATATATATATATTTCCTATTTATGTATGTACATAGGAAATAATATAGAAATTTCTTTCGGATTTTCTTCCAAATCAAACTTTGAGATAGGGCTGAAAATGTTTAAATACGCATGTTTTACGAACAGGGTAAAAACTGACTATATATGTATGGATGAGATATAAT